CTTTCCAGGCTCTGAGGAAGGCGAAATCCGCCGAAACGTCAGCTCATTCGTGAATAAAGAATAATAACACCTCGCGTTTGGTCAACAAAAATACGAAGAATTACTTGATCAATGCCGAGGTTAATAGAAAGTCGGTCGTGGGAGTTACTATTCAAACACCTAACAAGCTGGGTTTCCGCAGACAGAATGCACAACGTACAAACACTATTGAAAGTTAAACTTCTATTTACTGCCTAGCGTAATTTTTCACAGCAGAGTATTATGTGAAATGCAACCACAATAATGCCGAGATAAAACTAGCTGAGAGAAAAGCGAAACGAAGGACGCGCATGGTGCGGTGATGAACGCGTTAGCCCCCTGAAAGGGTAATACTGTGTCCGACTCCCACCGTATGCACCTACCGTCCGGGGTTTTGCAAATATCTCAGCATCATTGTGGTTGGTTTTTGCATAATACCCTGCCGTGAAAATCGTAGCAGGCAGCAAATAAAACATTAACAGTGCCTAGATATTCGCAGAACTTGGACCTCAGGTCAGATCGAGCCACGACTACCTTTTCCGGGAGGCTTGCGTATTACATATTGTACCAATGAGGTTTTTGCTTTGCCTTCTCCTCAGCTAGTTTTCTACTTAACTGCGCCATCAGCAACCACCAGTCACTCAACTAGTGACAGTTCTAGCGATCTCCAAGGAACATCGTTTTTGTCCTAACTTTCACTAACTATGAGAAAGCATTTGACAGTGTGAAGACTACTATCATATTTTCCGCCTTAGTTGGCCAAATAAAATACGACTATGAAGCTTTCCCATCTAAGAAACAGTACTACAATAGGTAAAGGACATCGACAAAATTGTACAGAAGCTGAACATCTCTACATAATACTGGCGCATGAATCCATCCAATTGAGACAAAAAGGTTACCTTAATAGATGGTCGTTTCTAAGATTCTGCCAACTCCATTATCGTCTTTGTCATACCCCACTTCTAAGTAGGAAGCTCAATGAATGTGAATATTTTCGTTTTTCTTCCTATTTTATATGACCCGTCATCATATCTACTCCGCAGATCCCAGCGCTTCCTGCAACGGATTCATTTTCCACGCATTCATATTCCACAAACCTGTTCGAACATTTTACACGTTGTCTGGGCTACTGCTTGAGGATTTCTTCTTCTTTATGGATGTCCAAGAATGCTGGTCGAGCCGATTCTTCTTGAAATCTTGGAGATAACCGAACTACGGGGTTCCAACGTGGATTAGGGGAAAGCGTTGGTGAGGAGATCAAAGCAGCCCCCCTTGCTTCCTGATGAGGTACATCACTAGTGATTTCGGATTTCGCTCCGCTAACCCCAACCCCGGATATGAGTAACAAACTAAGAAAACTCGGTATGATATGAACAGTGTGCTATGGGGACCACTTGTGTGCTTGAATTTACTGATCCTACGCTACGTAATCCTTTATATTATAAAGCACGTAACCGTAATACCCAGGAGAAATTTGGGGTGTTATTGCAACCATGTCGGAAAAGTTGTGTACGGTGTACTGGATACTCCAGCGATACCTTGTGGGGAGGACGAGGCGTGCTCAAGAACAAACAAGTGTTGCTACTTTAGATTTTCAAACAATGTCGAAGAAACCCGGCAGACCGCGTCACATGTGGATATCGTGGAGATCGTCACATAATGGAAGAATAAGACCAGAATAACAGTGAATTGGGCCAAACCATGTCGATGGATCAATGGAAAATGGAAAGAATCAAAATCATGTCGAAAAACACCACCAAAAAGAAAAGAAAACTCGTTCTACGTATATACCAACTGTGTTAACAAATTGAACTAAGTTCAAATCATCAACTTGCATCCTAACTTATAGAAGAAAGGATGGACCACCTTGGACGTCTTGCCAAATAACAGCATTTGGAAACGGATGAAACGCGAAAACGAAAGATGTCCATAATGTACTGTTCACTAGAACTTTGAAAAAACAAGAAATGTTAAATCTCACCGTCAAAAGGATAAACGAAGGACCGTTTGGGTTTCTCCTCAACGGAAACACTTCCATCAAGCACTCTAGGGATGGAGTCTGCACAAAGTTCTTCACTTTCCTCACTGCTGTCTTCGGACGCGACAGCTGTAATAATGAGGTCAAAAACTAAGTCAAGATAGAACTTGAATTTTGCAAAACTGTGATATTATCCCAAAGCTGTTCCGAGTGTGATGGAAAAGTGTCCTGGAAATCACATTTTAATCCCAATCTGGGTTCATTAGTAGCAAAATACTTTAACAAAGCAAGCCTTAACATATTTGTTTTTGCAGAAAAAATCCATGGGAAAGTAATTATAGTCAAGGAACAGATGGATGGACGTGGATAAAAAACATTCTCGCCTAAAATCTCTTTGGTTTTAAACAACTAAACATTGACTATAATAAACTGACAATAAGGGAAACGATCCACCTCTTGTTTAGTTATATTCCTACTTAACAAGAACTAGACAAAATTGTCGTTAATTAGTTAAGTGATGCATACCACAACATGGGAACTGTCACCCATATTTCGATAACGCTATAAAGAAAACAGAATCTCGAACTAAGTTCTATTTGTTAGCTAAGTAAACCACTACTGGTACTTAAAACAAAGCAAACCATCATTATAGCTCAAATAATCAAGAAGAAAGAGAAAACCACACCTTGCTTTATTCCTTCGACAACTTTTTCGGAACTAAGTTTAACATCCTCTTCTTCAGACGTAGCGCTCACCGATGTATCTCCTTGTGCTGTTGTTGGTGCATTTTCATCATTCCTACTCATTGCATAGTGGTATATCCATTCCTCTTTAGGTAAAATTTGTGCGAAACTCCTAATTGGAGAACGAGGCCTCAGAAATTGTTCCTCACACATTCGATGTAATTTCTCTTCACAAGCCGAGAAATCGAGACGTTTAAGAGTGAAATCTTTAACATTCCTTTTGACTGTTGTACTTTCTTGCTTCAAACTAGAAGCATTCGTAGATCCATGATTCATTGACTCTTCGTTCCTTGCCTGACATACTTTATTTGGTCCTCTATCAATATCATTCACGGTTTCGCGCTCGCTACATAGTTCTTTTCTTCCCGTTTTCTCCTTAAATACATCGGCTTTGTCATGGATAAGTATTTGCGACAAATCCTGTCGTTGACAGCGCACAAGATCAGGATTACTTCGACAACTCCCATCCTCAACCTCACACTCAGAAATTGCGTCATCTGATATCTTAAATGTTAAGTCGGAAGTGAAAATGCGAGAAACTTTGAAAAATTCGCGGTTAAACAATTACAGAAATACCTGGCAAATATCAAGAGAATTACGCTCGGATTGTAGATTCTCAAGTTCAACAGCACTGACACCGCCAAGAAGCAACTCGATGTGCTTGTTCTTGTCATTCTCAAAGCAGGCTCTTGCAGAAACATCTAGAGGAAAAGAATTTGTTCATGAAAAGCATTAATTTCCAAGTTTTTTACAACTCTTATCGCATTTTTCCTAACATGCTGATCACATGCAGTCCTTTACAACACACTCGCCAAACGCTGGTTTCCCTAGACTAGAATACTTAACAAGTTGAGAAGATGACATAGTTATAGAATAGAGTTTGCCTAATAATTCAAAGAGTCACCTGCACTCCTAATAATTATTGAGAAATTCGAACAGTAACTAGTCCTAACCTTTTTAATCGCTGCCTATTCTTTTTAACGGCAGGGTATCTTGCGAAGTATAACTTCTGTAATGCTGAGATATTTGCAAAACTCTTGACAAAGCGTTACACTCTGGAAAGGACAATAACGCGTTCGTTCCCCACCGCAGACACCTGCGGTCTAGAGTTTTGCAAATATCTTAGCATTATAGAAGTAACTAGTCTTTTCCACCTTAGACTGCCGCCAGGACGGCAGTGATAGCAAGTATTAGTTTATTCCTAGCGAGGCTTCTGGATCAAGATATCAAACTTCTTTTAAAAATCTCTTTAGGTAAATGAACTCTTGTCGAACATTGTTGTTCGATACTCAGTAATATACTGTAGTTGTCCTGTCAAATTTAGCAGTGCATGCGTACTCGATGCAAATACGAAAAATTATACCACAAAAAACTTCTGTAAATACACTAGAAAGACGGCGGCTCTGATGAAAGGAAAGATCGTAACAGTTCATCAACAGAATAAAATACTAAGTAGTATGCTAAAGTTAACGGAACCTTGATCATCCAAAACAGTAGACATCAGTTAAACCAACTCTAGGATCATATGATGCTACAGACCAGATCTAAGAAAAACGTTCTTGGAGGATAACTGGAGGGCAAATTTTGTTTGATTTCAACCCACTTTACTCCCTGTAGACATTGCACAACAGGCGTTGTAACAACGACCTATCAAGAACGATAGTGACTGAAATAACAAAGAAGCATTACCATAAGCATTCACTCCCGAAGAATTCTCTTTGGAAAATTCAAGTTTTTCCAGCTCTTCGATTGCTTTTTGGTAGTTATTCCTTTTTTCCCAGTCCTCTGGATAACGTCCTGAAATTCAATATCTTCATACAAAAAACAAAAGAAAGAGCTAAATCTTTCCTTTTTCACTTTAAAATAGGACGTACATGAATGAAGTCAATGCACAAAGCACCAAAAGTTGTTACCACAATGTACAACTGTGAGCTTAAACAGAGCAGTCAAGAAAAAAGACATAGAAGTGAAATAAACCAAGAAGAAAATATGACGCAATGACGACTTCGTTTACTTCGTCGTGAAATAATAACAGGCTAAAGGACAAAGCTCTCAGCGCTGACCATTCCTTGAGGGATGCGCCAGGCAATCTACTTCATTAGGCGTCGTTGGATGTGAATGAATGCATATCGGACCCATACAATCTCGCGGTGTGCTACCGATGTATCGAGCCAGTGCTGCTATTCTCCGAGACAAGTTTGGTACCAATCTACCAACCCGATGTATGGAGGGCTTGGTGATCTTGGGGCGCGGAGATCGATCCCATGTGTATTGCAGGCCGCCTTCGACAACTGTGCTACACGCGCCCTCGTGAAATAATTAAGGATAATAAAATGATAAAACTCCAGGCGTTGATAAACCTTGAAAGATGTGCAGTGTAATCGACCTCACCAATCTTTATTGTTAGAGGTGACTCAATGCACATTAGCCCTATGCAATGGTTTCGGTTGTCTACGGCTGTATCAATTCGGTGTCACCATCTTCTCAGACCGACCCCTGTGTACTGCTGGGAACCTCTAAACAGTGCGCTACAGGCGCCGGCCGTGAAATGATACATTTTAAACGATGTATGAAACACAGTGAATTAGAAGCCATTATATAACGCTCTTCAGTATAAAAGCAATTTGAAATGATCGCTCACCTAGCTCGCGATAGCAGTAAGGAGAGTCATACTCGGTCTCGGTGAACTCCGACCCGATTATATAGTCTGAAAGTACACCGGATACGAAACGATGAGTAGATTTATAAGCTATCGTGATTAAGCCAAGTTACCTTACTTTTCATCTTTTAATAAAAACACTGTGAAACATAACTACGAATAAAACACCGCAAATACATGTCGAAAGTTAGCGTACTATGGAATATCGATCCTCACTACGCACGATAATGAAGATACATTTATTTATATGTTCTTATGAACTGATCTTGTTGAGCTGATGCGAGATTGGTGAGTCCAAAGCATAACAGCACGGCTCTGAGGAAGGTGAAATCGTTCAAACGCCAACGTCAGCCATCGATCAACAACAACAACAACAACGATGACAACAACAACAACAACAACAACGACGACAACTAATACCAAACTCGCATCAGCTTAGTAGGATCAGTTCACAAGAACATATAAACAAGTACATCGATCATTTACGCCGAGGTTTACAGAAAGTCGATCTTCTGAGTTATTAGGAGATTATGAAGATAGTTATGAGGTCTTGGTAAGTATGTCTCATCAAAATTTAAGAAAAAGAAAACCAGAACTTGATTTTAAAAAAATTTCGCGATATGTGGGTGTGTGAAGGTTAATACCAAATCGATACATAACAACGACTTACACTTTCCGCCGGCCAAATCCTTCTTCGCCCGGTGATATGAACGAGCCATGTGAACAGCCTCTGGCCATAGCGGCAAGCCGTAATGAATGGCCTTTTCTACCTGATCAGTAACAAGAATAATAAGAACATTAAAGAACCCTCACGTTTCAGTAGTAGGTCTTATCGAATAAGTTCATATCAACGAAGAACTCACGGCTTGTTTCGTGGTATGTCGACCACGAAGCAACCATAGTCGGGATAAATCTGCATTGGACAAGCCCTGCACCATTCTGCAAGCACCAGTGTTAATGAACAACTTTACGAATATATGATGACATCAGCTATATTTGTGCTAAATTTCAATGGCGAGAAAAACGAATCCTAAATGAGAAATAACCAAAAATGACTTCCAGAACTATTAAGCTATTAAAACGATCATAACTAAATCAACTAAAAACGAGAATTCAGACGAGCAGACGGGACAGAAACTATTAAAATTGGAATCGATGAGGGAAAAAAAACAGGACCAAGATTTGATTCTTTTTTTGTAAGTCGGCATGAAGGTCAGATTTTGGCTAGAATGACCTTAGGATTCCAGGGATCCACAATTGCTAAGCCGGCAAAACTCCGGAAAAGTGAAAATTAAGCTGGGTCCGCACAACCAGTGAAGACCGGCTATCCAGGTATACAAACAAGTGCATCGGCATCAAGCAATTAGTTAGAGGTTGAAGAGAAATAGAATTTCAGAGGCGTTGCGGTTTTTGAAATGGGGCATGTTTGCTACTCTATGATGACTATCCTATAGTGTTCAACGTTTTGTTTTCTGCCTTCTATAATTTTCATGGCAGGTTACTAGGCGAAATACAACCACAACGTTGCTGAGATGTTTGCAAAACTCTGGACCGCAGGTGTCTATGGTGGGGAACGAACGCGCTATTGTCCTTTCCGGGGAGTAACGCGTTCACCACCACACCATACGGGTCCTTCGTTTCGCCTGTCTCTCAGCTATTTCTATCGATCTGTGCCGTCAGCAATCATCCGTCAACGGCATTGACCTGGGTTATAAAAGGTTGTTTATTTAAGGAACTGTACACCTTCCTGGACTAGTAAGAAATTCTTGCTGTGGTAATTGAAAGCATTCATCCAAAACCTACGAACATTAGTTGGTGTTATTCATGGCGTTATCGTCATATCGTCAACGGGGTCTATTCTATAACGTTATACTTTTTTATTTTCTGTCTCGATATCATCGACGAAGAATACGATCGGCTCATTCAACATCGTCACGTTAGCGCTATGAAAGCTGAGAGTTCGAAAGTCTCCAAGAAAGGACTGTCTCCAGAAACGCTCGACCTGATACGCCAGCGCGGAATCGCACGAGCTACAGGCAACCGCGAACTAACGTCCGAACGTGCAAAACAATGCAGACAGACGATAAAGGAAGATCTTAAAGAGAGAAGAGCAGCAGTAATGGTCGAAGCTGTAGAGGGTGGAAAATGCATTCGCAAAACCCACCGAAGCTTGGCCAATTACAAGACTAAGATTATAGAGAACATTCTTTACGAATATTGGAATTTTCTCTATGTAAATCAATTAGAACCTTTCCAAACATTTCAAATGCTTCTCCCATGACCTTTTCTCCATTACGATCTGATAACCCTTCCAAACATTTCAAATGCTTCTCCCATGACCTTTTCTCTATGACGATCTGATAGCCGTAAGTCTAACATTTCGCTGGCGCCTATCTCGTAAAATATCTGCACTTACGGTCCTAGGCTTTGAATATCGCCCTATCAGATCGCAAGGCTTGTGAAATGTTTCCAGCACCCGTCTTTCTGCCTACTGTAGCCCAAGTCCGCCTACTGTAATCTGACTCCGCCCAGCTCAAAGGTATATAAACGGCTCCACTCTTAGCTAGCTCATGTCACAGCAATGCTGCCAAAGTCACCGCATTCGTGCGTCACATCCATCTCATGTAGTAAAAGTGTTATGCCAATCTCTTCACTCATAAGCAACCTGAACACCAGTGATCAGGCTGCGTCTATTCATTACCCGTATCACCGTTGCATTAATTATACAGTTGTACTGTCATGCCAATCTCTTCACTCACAAGCACCCTGAACACCAGTGATCAGGCTGCGCCTACTCATAACCCGTATCATTGTTGCATTAATTGTAGAGTTGTATTGTTATGATTGTTGTATAATTATGATAAACGGTTTAATTACACAAGTTTGAGGTGTCCGGCATTGTGACTGCTAATCACAAGAAGTCCCGCGTGGCGTACACAAAGGCGAGCAACTAATTCCGACCGAATTCTCCTAACTACTTGGTATTCCTATATCAACGAGCCGTCCCAACAAAGATAATTGCACTACGTCTCTCAGGCGGAACAGTTACAGCGTCCAGAAAGGCAATGAAGAAAATCATTCACGAGTACTACTCAGATCTCTTCAATAGCCATGTTCTCTTTCCCTCAAATGAAAAACGAGGGTGGATATATGTTATACCACCAGTTTTCCCTTCCGAAATCCAACATTACATTTCGTAGGTGAAAAATCGAACAGCACCAGGTCCGGAGAGGATAAGACCAGAACACCTGAAGAACCTTCCGCCAGTCCTGGTAAACACACTGGCTCGGCTCTTCACACGTTACTTGTCTGAATGCAAGGTCCCTACTCAGTGGAAGACCAGCAAGATCGTGCTATTGTTCAGGAAGGATGACCTAAACGATATCGGCAAATATCACCCAATCTGCTTGCTGTCTGTCGTCTACAAACTTTTCACTCGAGTCATCCTAAACAGGATTGACAGAACACTAAACGAAGGACAGTCATGTGAGCAAGTAGGGTTTCGAAGAGGATTTAGTACGATGGACCACATCCACACGATAACAAGACTCATTGAACTATCGCGAGAGTACAAAGGACAGCTGTGTCTCACTTTCATCCATTTAAAGGCTTTTGGATCAACTGAGATAGACGCAGACAGTAACACAAAAAGCACCTGACCCCGTCCCCACCTGTTCGAATCGATGGTACTCCCGGCGTTAACGCATGCGTCAGAAACCTGGTCGCTGCATAAGCAGGGTGAATGATCACTCAACTTCGAGGCTCTGACCTGTGTCAGCGATCAAAAAATCGATGATGCCGTTTTGTACACCAAACAGTCGAAGATTAGGTGTACCGGACACGTAATGCGTATGAACGACAACTGATGGGCAACAGCCGTTAGTGATTTGATTCCTCTGGATTTTTACCGCACTACAGGGAGACCACCAACTCGATGGTCGGAGTTCTTCAACAGAAGCTTAGAAGAAAGTTATGATACTCAACCATGAGTCCCAAGAGCGAGCAGAACCCACTGGGCCACTCTCGCATGCGGCAGGGAAAAATGGAAGGTTTACTGGCGTGCGATTGAGTCACTTGACGATCAACGGGACTACAGGTGATACAGGCAACACCTTTGCGTGGTAGAAATCAATCCCAATGCCATCGATACTTACATGTCTCAATTGTTCCAAACTCAACATGTCCCTGCACTATATTCGCGAAAATATGGATCCCATTTGGTTCGCTTTCTTTCTAACCGTTTAAGCAGTGAAATGTTGGGCGAGCCTAGGTCACGAGTTGAAACAGCGAACAAACGGGCGTTAACTGCTTGGATCGCAGCTACCGCTGCGCTAAACGCGGCTGTCGTAACAGCGCTTCCCCAGACTGCAGACTGATACTTCGAATCGCTCATCCGTTGCAAATCTAATCATTCTTATCGAAAAGCACATTGTACTGGTTAGTCAGCAAAGACGAACGCTCGCCTTCTGGAATCGGACAGGCTAAGCGGGTGTCCTCGCCCATGATAGTAACGTATTTCGCTGGGATCGCACATAGGTTCGTCTTCGAATAGTCCCTACAAATAAGCTCCAGGTGCACAAACCACTCCATCTTTCACACAGTTGCTCATTATAACCGAAGGTCTCTATGTACAACAAGCAGAAAAAAAAACAAAGAAGTTACAAATCAAGTAGGAACAAAACGCAAATCATGGGGCAAAACGGTCAAGAAGAGAGACAGCACAGTTTGCTAAAAGGCTGAACAGACAACGTAGATCGCGTGCAGCGAAGAAATCAACCCTTTCGTACGAACTGAGAGCCACTAATGCAATGTGCCATCAAGACTTCCGTTACAGTTTATTCGAACTGAATACTGACGTATCTAACGCTATACTGTACATAGAAGCGAGGAGAAAATGGCAAACTTATAAACGATACCGATGGATTAAGCGGAAAAAAATTAAAGGTTAAAAAAACCGCCCCAAGAAATGCACTGTTCAATCCTGCGATTCAATCTGTACAAGAATGTTTTATTACGGCTTCTGGCTTTAAGTGTTCACCAACCTCTGCATATTCAGTAAATTATGATAATACTCAGTACTCAGCAGTTTTCTTTCTCGGTTCTGCTGGGACATTAACTAGATACAATACAATACAACAGAACACATAAAGGAACACCATTCAAACTACTACGAGGTTCAAAAGCATTAGTAAGACAGGAGTCCTAAAACATACAAACAAGCCGGCGGACATGTAACGTTAACCAAAAAACAGTTAATATAATAATCACCATGAAAAACAATAATAACAACATGGGAACCAACAACAGCCAGACAAGGAGCGATTACGACTGGCAAGGACCAATTTGAGAAAAAAGCAAACAAGCAGAAAAAAGCCCTTAAATCAACAGAGAAAATAAATGGCATCAAAGGTTTATTTAAAGTCAACTATATCTAAAGGACTACATGGAGCTCACTGAAGAAGTCTCAACGATCGATATCTACTGCTTTCATCACCGAGTACAGAAAGAACGATGAGAAACAGCCGAAATATGCCGCCTTTTCTGAAATATCGAATACATATAGTCATACTTGCCAATCAAGAAATACCAACACGATGGAAAACGCATCTCATAATTTCACGTGGGTATGCGCCGTCAACCTATGATGGAAATGAACGAAAGCATACAACGAAAACAGAATTGTAAACAATCCTCTGCCAGTCCGGAGCTATAGAAGTTAAGTGGGATTATAATGTTAGGAAAAATTCATCGTCGATTGAATTTGTCCATGGTCTATAAAGCAAAAAATTTTTCGCAAAGGACCTCCCTCCCTCCCACATCAAAACGTCAAGATATTCCGCTTGCCAGATATTCGCTGAGAAAACGTCGCGAAGGAGCAAACCGTTCGTATGCGTCAGGCACCTCTAATGGAATAAAAGGAAACTATACTACGAATACAAATAAAAATGTAAACAATTTCCTCTACCAGTCCGGAGCAATAGAAGTGAGGTGGGATTAGAATGTGGTAGAACTTTCATCGCCGATCGAATTTGTCCATGGTCTTCAAAGAGAAAAATTTCTCGGAAAGCACCTCCCTCCCTCCCACTTGAAAACGTTAAGATATTCCTCTTGCCAGACATTCGCTGAGAAAACGTGGCGAAGCAGCAAAGCGTTGGTATGCGTCACGAACCTGTGAAGGAATAAAAGGAAACTATACTACGAAGACAAATAAAATTGTAAACAACTTCCTCTACCAGTCCGGAGAAATAGAAGTGAGGCGGGATTAGAATGTGGTAGAAATTTCATCGCGGATAGAATTTGTCCATGGTCTTTAAAAAGAAAAAATTTCCGAAAAGCACCTCCCTTTTGGTAAGGTCTCCCATGTTGAGGAGGCCGGCTTTCCCAACGAGAAGCCCAGCTAAGAGTAAACCATTACCAGGATCCGTCTGCATCCTGCTATCAAACTGGTCGCACGGTGGCAAACCTCCTTCTGGTCTACAAGGACCTCGACTGCCTCTGGTGGCGAAGTCCCAGGGTAGATCTTCGCTAAGGTGACCTCTGGACTCCAGTAAACCCTCACCTCAGGGAAAATATACCATAGATGGAATAGAGTCGAAAACAAATCGAGTGAAAGAAAATGCGGGATGGTTTTCTTTATTAATCGCTAGTTATATCGGCTTACTCCTGGCAGGTGTACCTGGGTGTCGGACTGCGATGTACAGCGCGGCGATTTGCCCCTCCGGTAGGGTCTCCCAAGCTGAGGAGGAGTCCGACGTTTCCACCAGAAAGCCTACCTAAGAGTAAACCAGTACCAGTATCCACCACCATCTTAGTATCAAGCTAATTACATGCTGCCAAACCTCCCTCTGATCCACAAAGGCGGTGACTGCCTGTGGTGACTACGACTTGGGGCAGATTTTTACCTGGATGACCTCGAGACTACAGAGAACCACAGTGAATAAACTAGCAAAACACCGAAACAATGAAAATTGCTCTGAGGCCCAGACAACCAGTGAGGATGTACCGTTCAAGTATCCAAGTGAGAATTCCAGGTGAAGACTATAAAAGCAGACTCACCAAAAATGCTGGTCGGGAGCATTACAACTAGCTAAGCTTCCCGCTATTCTCGTTACCTCTCTTACCCCCATCAGACTTAAGATAATTAGCACAAACTATCCAGAGCGCTAACGGTAGTGTTCATGTACAAAGTGTGTACAATAACGCGGTAACACCGTGATGATACTGAATGATTCAACACTATGTTTTCCACACTTCATCAACTGACCTCGACGCAACGATAGCAACAATACTCCATTCCTTATAGACGTTGGATTGCTTGCCTCAAAGCGAACACGCCGACCGCTAATGCACGAATACCCTGCGAAATGATGAAGACACGCGTTACTACTGCACGAACGATTTGTTCAGCAAACCGGTTGATCCACGTTCCGACACAAGTATTAACAGGTTGACGATCAATCATTCTTCAGATCACTAAGAAAGAGTAACTGCTAAATATCAGCTGAGTTGCGCATAACAAATCAATAAGACTCTTTTATCCTCGCGATTGCTGAACAAGAAAACGACACATTCATATTCCAATGCCGAGGTTAAGAGAAAGTCGATCTTGGGAACTCTTTTATCGTTTATTTTACCACCACATAAACTTCCAAACATAAAAAAACCAACCATTTCACGTTCTCAACACTAACGACGCACTTACCACTACCAAAGGTATGCTGAAGGACATAATCCCGTACTGCTTCGTCTCATTTGATATTTTACTCCCACATTGTAACAGACCGTATCAAAAGCCATTCCACAATTCGAAACATCAGCCCCACAATGGAGAGCGAAGAAGAAGACGCCATCCACCAATTCACTGTTCGGGACAATAAAAGCACCTTTCGGTTTACTAGGCAAGGAAGCATTCCTTCCCAATGCCTTTCACTCTGATCGATAATGAATATTATTGATAAGAAATTGTCCACACCTAAACGCTTAATTACCATTCACGCACTTATTTACAAATATGTTACATATTCCCAGTTTAGAAATTGGACCACGCAACTTCTAGGCGACGGCAATCGGAATTCAATCTATATCTGCCTCTACCAACCAACTAGCCTCATTACTTGGCCCGCCTTCTCTCGCCGCTATACAGAAACATCATGGTCCATCACTGTGGCAACAACTCTAAGCACCTCGACGACTATAGCCCTCGTCGCTTGCTCAAATCTGTAAATAATTTAAACTCCCCCGGAAGGTAGTCTAAACGGATAATGCCACAAAATCCTTCTAAGCTAAATAACTAAGAACAAACTGGTTACATATGACTGCACGTGATCATTCACTGCCAACGTCCGACCGTATCATAAATACTGAAAATCAATCGATCAAAACAACCCCGAAAAAGCAATACGAACCCCTCAACAAGCCTAACGATCTTCCATCGACTTGGAAATAGGTACTTGTCATCTTCTCTCATCCTCCTATAATGCACTGTATAAGATCCGTCAAGGAATTATAATTTATTTCATCAAACACAACAATATGTACAGACACCTATTTTGTACTACCCGCAAAACAAATGATCCACCCAAAAAACACTTGCGTACAAGATAGGAACAGATTGTAATATAACACTCGACCAGCTATGCTGAGCGCGAATGCCGCACAAATGGAAACATGTGTTGACGCAATCGCGAAAGTAAACACCTTTGACCTAAAACGAGTGCAACACAATCTCAACAATACTGACACAATAAAACGACTTGCGATTAACCTCTAATTGCCACCGAACGCCCACAGACTCGAACAAAGAAGTCATCGAGTCCGAAAGGGTCCTCGCCGTCGTCGCGTTGTCGCTTCTCGGACGGCTCATCGTCAGTACAGTTCTGAACGATAGGTTCAACACAAGTAATTGTAGCACAACAGGACTCATCATCACCCTTGTTTAGCCTAGCAACCGCATGCCTTACCAGACATTCGCTGAGAAAACGTCGCGAAGCAGCAAAGCGTTTGTATGCGTCACGAACCTGTGAAGGAATAAAAGGAAACTACACTACGGAGAAAAATAAAATTGTAAACAACTTCCTCTACCAGTCCGGAGCAATAGAAGTGAGGCGGGATTAGAATGTGATAGAAATTTCATCGCGGATCGAATTTGTCCATGGTCTTCAAAGAGAAAAATTTTTCGGAAAGCACCTCCCTCCCTCCCACATCAAAACGACAAGATATTCCACTTGCCAGACATTCGCTGAGAAAACGTCGCGAAGCAGCTAAGCGTTTGTATGCGTCACGAACCTGTGATAGAATAAAAGGGAACTATACTACGAATACAAATAAAATTGTAAACAACTTCCTCTACCAGTCCGGAGCAATAGAAGTGAGGCGGGATTAGAATGTGGTAGAAATTTCATCGTCGATCGAAATTGTCCATGGTCTTCAAAGAGAAAAATTTTTCGGAAAGCACCTCCCTCCCTCCCAC